GAGAATCTCGTTTGTGAGATTCTCTGTGACAGTGTTGAGTTCCGCCACGTTGGTGGGGCCTTCGAGCCGGGTAAAAAATTGGTTCTGAAAATCTGTTAGGGAGGGGGCCGGAGTGCGGAGAGCTCGGGCATCGGCGCTTTCAGGCCAGTGATAAGATTATATAATTGAACTCACATCGCAGACGCCAACCCGGGGTGAAATGGTAATGGCGCGCTATGAACACGCAGTAGAGTAGGCCACAATCGAGGCCATTCCTCTGCACAGCGCATTGCATGAGTTGAATGATCGCCGATCTTCCGTTCCGTCTCGTTGCAAAAGCCGTAATAAGATGTACGACAGTCATCGTACACCTGCAGGGAGCAGTAGTACTATACCATCTTGGATGACGGGCAGAACAACAGAACCTGTCAGTGGTCATCACTGCAGATTTGGCAGATAATGCTGTCCCAGCATTGCCTACCTGGAGGAAAGTAGTTGGGAATTTTGAGGTGCTGGGCGTGTTGGAGATGGGGTGATAAATGGGAAGAGAGGTGACGGAAGCGAGGGTGAAGATGCATTTGTTTCCCTGTGCTTGGAAAGTACTACACAGGAAAGAATGGTGTGCATTGACATAGTACATTGACTTGGTATGCGATATCATAGCCTCCTTGTTAGGCGACAGTTGAACTCTTTGTATAGGAAGTGCGGCATTTTTCCATCAATAACGCGCGCCTTATGTATGCCGCACATCTTGTACCTCTTTAGGTTTGCTGAAATGTATGGATAACGCGTACCTAGTAGTTATAGTTACCGCGCACCTTGTAATATGTAATACCCATGAAAATGCGTAGATAGCGTATAGTTTATATCTTGTCTAAAAAGGGCAGTTTTCGGACAGATGAATAATGAAACAATATGACTGGCTGTGGCTGTATGTTAAATAAACGAACAGAAGAATTAACAAGAGTCGCCATATTGTTTCTAGTCTTTGAACACGTGTGTTCTGCAACTGTTAAATTTTTAAAATTGAAAGTTGCTCCTGAGAAAATTCCTCATGATGAAAAAAATATCTGCGGAAAAATTCTTATACAGCAACGTTTAAGATGGAAGCCATTAATTTCGCGAAAGAAAAAGGGATTCATGTGGTAGCCATAAAATTTAACTTTGGAGAGTCTAGTTTACGGAAATGAGGAAAGAAGCAGTCTTAAATGTTTACACATCAAGAGAGGTGCAGTGAGGTACAGGAGATGCTTCTGGCCAGAGCTCAGAAAAAGCTTATCGAGTGGGTTCCTTTAGAGCAATCGAAAGGACATGAGGTGTCAACAACTAGTATTTCAGAAAATGAACTGTGTGGTGTACCTGAAGAAATTGTAAATGTTCTTGATTTATTTTATATTGATTCATATCAAGAGTTTTATGGTTTTGAGTGACTTTATGTATGTAATACGTATGTACGATAAATGTTATTTTGTCATGTTTTATTTTTATCTTATTTTGTTATATTAATCCTTATACTCACTAATCTTGCAGTAAGTACATGGTTTCAGACTAATTTATTTTCACAATATACGCGGTCAGAAATTACCGCGTACATAGGTAACTTTAAATAATTTGGAATTTTTATACAGTATAGATTTTACTACTCAAGAAAAGTACATGAAAGTTATAGGTTTTTAAAACTTACGAGACTGTTTAGGTACGCCTAGGAGTTGAGGTAAGGGGATTGGAGACTGACAGACGAAACTCTGAGCAGTGCCAGACTTATGGCACTGATTGGATTACGAGTATTTAAGAAATGCAGAAGAAAGATAGAGGAGTTCATTGCGAAGCGTCACGTCGTACGAATGATATATTACAATTCTTTTAGGGCTCATTTCATTATGTTCATATATGCAAATTTTTAAGATTCTAAAAGAGGAATTCACCGTGTTTTCTCATCGACAATGCGCACGTTATCTATACAAAAATGTGAAGTAAGCGCGAAAAATCAACGTTGCACGTTATGTAATGAAAAATGAAAAAATTCCTAATTTTTTCAAGTTACCTATGTCCGCGGTTATTTCAAAACTGCGCATATTGTGAAAATAAATTACTGTGAAACCAGTACCTATTGAAATATCAGTGAATATATGAATATGACAAAATAAAATAGAAATAAAACATGAAACGTAAAATAACATTTGTTGTACAAACGTATTACAATAAAGTCACTCAAAACCATTAAACTTTTCATCTGAATCAGTACAAAAAGAATCAAGAACATTTATAGTTTCTTCAGGTACATGACTCAGTTCGATTTCTGAAATTAATCCTTCGTAATCTGTTTCTGCCGTTATAGCATTTAGTACTTCTCCTAGTGCTTTTTTAAAAACCCGTTTTACACAAGACACCAACACTTTGCCAACGTTTACGGATTCACCTGCACATTTCTTCATATGACACCATTTTAATCTTTTCTGATTTACTATAGTCATTAATTCCAGGCATTATCTACTTGTTTCATCTGGAGCGCAAATTTGACTTAACAGATTTAACGGATAAATGAAGCGGCTAAAACTTTTTATTAATCCGCCCTGAATAATTGCCAATTTTGAATACTTGCCTGCTAACCCTTTCACATCATCAGTAATATGCGCACGGCAAGAGTCCATTATTTTCATGAGCATTAAATATTACTAGGTGTGCGGTATCTACTAAATACGCGTTATCTATACATTTTGACGAACATCAAAAGTACAAGGTGCGCATTATCGGTATATACATAAGGTATGCGATAGTGTCTATTAAATTCCTGTTGTTTTTTGTAAACAGTAAATAACAGAACCATTAGTTTTTGCTTTAATTAGAGCATCAGCAAATTATTTTATTGTTTCTTTCCATCTTTACTTTACTGTGTTATTTAGCATCTTGTTTATTAAACGGTTCACGAAAGAGTTTATGTAAAATTAGCATGTTATCTATATGTCGTAAACAAGTAACATAAGATTATTAGTCTCCCATTAATCTAATATCCAAAGCTCCACCACAGGGGTTCCATGGCTGATGACACCGCTTCCTTGCACCTTAGTGTGTTTGAGATCATTTAAGTAGGTTGTGGATAGGTAATATTATTTTAACATCCGCGGTGGATTGCTTCGTGTTCATCATTTTACTGCCTGAATAGATGTCTGCTTCGTTGTAAAAGATGTTTTAGGAACAGATCTCCTTACGAACGTTGAATTTTGGCATCAAAAAGTGAGTTTTTACACCAGAGGCGTGGTGAAAAGCATAATTATTCCCTAATGTTTATTAAATAATAAAAATGTACTTTTTGAAGCATGATTAGAAGAATTCAAACTATGAAATATGCAGCTTACGTTTAATCCGTGTGGATAGTCCTAGTCTCCTTTAACAGTCTATACTCTAAGCGTTGACCTGAAAGTATACTCTGATTTATTCTGATTCCATGATCCCCTAGGTTACTTTTAGTTCAAATATAACTGGCATTTTCTCTCGTTGCTACGCAATAATGAGTTGTTTGTTTTGATGAAAATTTCTCGTTGTAGTTTCGTGACCAGCATTTGCGTATTCTTCATGCATTCCAGAGCAGTGTGTGCGATTGGTTGGTCGCTACGGTTGTACATTGTTGGTCAGATGGTGCTAAACTCAGTGATCGTTGTGCATAGTTTTGCGATCGCGTATGTGAGCAGCCTTGGAACGATATTGAATCCGGTTCGTCGTCGTAGACTGCCGTTGCTATTCTATGTGCGCTGTCCGCTTGTGGTTGCTGAAGTCGCATGGAACGTTGCCGGTTCGGTGTGGTCAGCTCAGGCAACGTCTGACTGTGAACATTTGTTTTTGCTGTTCGTACGGGCATCGCTGACTGTCTCATGGCTCATTGTGATCATGACATTGTTCGGCGCTTGGCTGATGTTCGACCCTCTTGGTAACATGCATCACGACGATTTTAACCTGGTATTACAGAACAAGCGTATATGGCAGTCTCGGTTACAAACCGTGTTCTGTTGCACCGGTGCCACGAGTGATCAATTGAAATCTGCCCTGGAAGGCACGGCCGAACTGCTCTCATTTCTGTTCTGCGACAAGGACCTTGTGTTCACTGACCTTTGGGCAGGTATTATTATTTTGGTTTTTTTGTTTTCATATTTTGTTTACGTCGGACGACAAGATCCGTTGCTTAAACCGCGGGCATTGAAGTAAGTAACGACAGATAAGTCACTGCCGCATGAACCCCTTATTCATCCCATGAGGATAATGATGGTGTTGGTGATGGTTCGTTAGATCTATATCATGTCTTTCACTGAGGGCTAACTCCCGATAAACTGTGCATTCGACCATATGCTTTGATGTCAATTAAACTGACATGAAATATGGTTAGAAATTGATCAGGGATGACATTTTAATTGCATTTAGCATACATGACACATTAATACGTTTCAGTATATTTGAGACTTGTTCGTAATTTCAGCAAGTTCATGTTTATAACGATTAAAGCATGCACTCGTAAAGCTGACTGTCTTGTGCTTGTGGCATCACACCGCTTGTTCATGTTCAAAACTCATTACTACTCTTATTGTTCTCATGATACTTATCATCATCATCATTTTATTCTTCAATACCGAAAGAAAATCCATCCAAATCTTGTGCAGATTCTCATACAAGGAAACTGTCACATCGACGATCTCTTCCCGCTTATACTTTCACTGTGGAATAAATATGTTTGGACGATTTTTATCGAAACATTGGTCAGTGATTGGTCATGATCGATGTAACTGTCAGTTTTTCTCTAAAATTATTCTTGAATCATATTGCATTGCCACGTTTTCTCGAATGACCAATCCATATCTCTTGCCAGCTGCAAGTGGTACAAGATCATACATGTGCTGCATTGTTACTCATTATGGCAAGGGCACCGCGCAGCCGAGCGCAACATGTTGAATTGGCTGTATTGTGCTAGCAGGGATTGTGCTTTTTTCTGACCAGTTAATCACCAAAACTTTTTGGGTCATTATCAGCGTTATGTTTATCACTATAATCATAATCTGTTTCGTTACCACTGTCGTCGTTACCCTTGTTTTCATGATCATCGCGACCGCCCTATCATCATTCGGAATGATAATTAGTCCATACCCATATCGAATGAAACTAATTTCCTTTTAGTACGGACCGATAATAAGTGGTTTTTACCTCATTGTTGCCTAAGCCTCAACCTTGGCCAAAGCCACGGCATAAACTTAGACATGCACCCAACAGTGCTGAGGCTTAGATATAAGGCTAGGCTGAGTGATGATACATCAAAACAATGGTATTGTAAACTTCGACGATTTGACTATGCGATATTTAAAAGAGATGATTGAACACCATTCTATCGCGTACTATATAAAAACGAACGGTAGACACTATCCGAGCGTTGGAATGTCAGCGCTCTCCTCGGAACCCTTCCTTCCCAGCACAGGTTCAGGAATGGTGTTTATCGCCGAAATTAACTGACGAAAGCGAAAGGCAGCTCCGTTTCCGGTCCCAAGCCCGGATGAGAATGGAGGTGACTTGGAGACACTGGAGAGATCTCCGCAAAACTTAGCCACCTGCTCCTCATAGTATTGCCGTTATCGAAAATTGTACTAGCCTTTTCGCCCCCGGGTTACCAAGGCCGATCAGGTTGTTGGGGCTCAACAACCGGCTGTCGAGGATCGACGGAACGACGACGATACCAATCAGCAACGGAGTCGCTACCAGTTCTGAATGGAGAAGGCGAACAGCGCAATGCCATTATAGCACGTCACAAAAGGGTCCACGAGAATGATACCGCCAGTGGGAGCTTACAGCCGGAAATTAGAGTGTATCCTCACTCAGAGGGAAGGAGCTGGAGTCAGTTGATGAGGCCATAAAGTACCAACTTGACATTGTTTCACTCTCATCAGCGAAGCACAAGGGCTTTGAACTCCTGAACCTCAACGGGTGGAAGCTATTCTACTCAGGTGTCGATATCATGAAGCGCGCTCAGGCTGGTGTTGTTGTTTTGATAGAACCCAGCCTGGCTGAGAGAATGATTGAATTTAAGCCTGTCAACGGAAGAGTGGCAATCCTCCAACTGAAGTTTCGACAGTCTAAATCTCTGACCTTGTTAAAAGTCAATGCGCCCAATTTAATGGGATAATATGAGTCCTTCCTTGAGGAAGTGGGATGTGCCCTGTACAAAGTACCCACTACGGAGTCCCCCTTTCTAATGGGCGATTCTAATGCGCATGTCAGAGCAGATCAGAGCAGACAGTGATGAGTGGAAAGGCATGATTGGAAGGATGGACCTTGGCGAACGTAAGGCGATGAAAGATAGCTATTTGCAGACGACCTTGTTTTGTTAGCATATTCTGAAGCTGACCTATAACGATCTCTCGAATGGTTCGCAGCTGAGTACGACATGACCGGCATGCGTGTGAACGCAGCTAAAAAGAAAAGCCTAATGCTTTCTCGTTCTCCTGCCCTTTGCTTTCTTCTGATGATCGGAAAAGCAATGGGGCAGGTGGAGAAGTACCTCGGAATCGTATTTACTAACGATGGAAATTTTGAGGAATAGATCGACCGGCGAACTGGAGTAGCCAGTGGCGTTCTTCGTGAATTAACCCGAATCACTGTGAGTAAGACATTGCTGGATCTGAAAATTATGCTCTTGGTG